GACCTTCTGATAATCAGCCGGGGTCCTGTAATGCGACTTATCGATGCCACGTACGACCTCTACTCTTCTCAGCTGAGGGCAAATCTTCAGTCTGCCACTTCGAAAATCCACATCTCGTCTGACCTCTGGACATCGCCTCATCGCCATGGAACACTGGCTGTGTCGGCGCGATGGGTTGATAAAGACCATCAACTACGAAGGGCGCTTCTAGCGATGCCGGAATGCCGCTACAGCCATAGTGGCGAAACGCAAGCCTCTCTCATTATGGACACGCTGGAGAGATATGGAATTGCGTCTAACGTAGGATATCACGTTGGAGACAATGCGACGTCTAACGATTCTTGCTTATCTTACCTATCTCTTCGGCTTAGGCGGGACCACGGGGTAAAATTATTTTACCTTTATTCTTGAAGTTATGCTTACCTTATTATTAGCTGTCGTTTGATCCCTCGAAGCGTCGGATACGCTGTATCGGCCATATTATTAATCTCTCCCTTCAAGCGTTCCTTCAAGCGTCGTCTAAAGAGGCGCTTATTGCAGCTCTTAATACCACGGATGATAGTACTAGCGACCAGCTATTCGCCCGATTCTACGACACGCTGCACGATACTAAGGAATCGATGCAAACAACAGACAGATCAACAAAGAAGGCTCTCGCGAAATGGCAACCGTATACTTGAGAACTTCACCGGATGGCAGCATATTGCGCCACTGCGTAAGGTACATAATATTGCGGTTTGGATACGTAAATCTACGCTTCACTCGGCTGCGTGGGATGATGAGATTAAGCTCCGACTCGACATAGATAATGCGACACGTTGGAACTCGTGGTATCGATTGCTCGATAATCTTCTGAGGTATCAAGCACGAGTGAAGCAGTTTCTGGTTGACCATGACAGGGAGCTCCAAGATGATATCCTTCTAGCGTCCGAGTGGGAATTTATTGAACGGACGCACCGTTTCTTGCAACCGTTTGCCTCAGCCACGTTGCTTGCCGGAGGAGCAGGATCCACGCTATCTCAATCGCTGTCCATCATGGACGTTTTATTGCGGCAGTACGAAAATACAAAGTTAGTCAAAATAATCATTGTGTCTCTGTTTAATGTAGCCTTTGCTAACAGGCTCTTGTCTCTAACACGCAGGAACTTTATAGTTCACAGGAAACGCTGGATCGTCACATGGTCCACTGTATCGACATGGGCTGGTTTGTGCTTAATAAATACTACGCTTTGTCAGACCAGACGCCAGTGTATGCAGCGGCGCTCCTGCTTGATCCTTCGAAGAGACAAAAATACATTGAACGGAATTGGAAAGAGTCCTGGCAAGCTCCTGCCGTTAATGCCGCTCGCGAAATTTGGTTAGAAGAATACAAGTCTGCGGCGAGCCCTGATTTACAGATTCCTACAGATGCGCCTTCTTCTACTAGCAGACAGCGTAACGAGCTGGATGAGCTCTTAAGTGATATAGCGGTGACTGGCCCGATAGTAGGCGATGCCGATGACTTCGAAACATTTATTTGTGCTCCTCCCACCCGGATTACCGGAACTGCGCTCGAGTGGTGGCTACATTCAGACCAAAGGAAAGCGTACCCGCGGCTTTCTCGTATGGCAATAGATATCCTCTCCATTCCTCCTGAATCATCTGACGCAGAGTCTCATTTCTCATCCGCGCG